GGCAAAGATATTCGCAATAAGAATACTTCAAAGTAGCGTGGCCTTTTCTTAGATGATATCTTATAGTGCGTAACGAGTCAATCTGAACGCCTCAGGAGGCAGTCCCCAAAGGAAAATAGCTTCTCAATGTTTATGATAAACAAAGGTAGCACAGAAAATGACGGAACAGTTATTCACGTGGAAGGTATTGTCGCAGAAGGCGAACGCTTTTGATGTCATCGCATTAAATTAAATTTTGCGTTTTTTGTGTGAAAGATTTTCTGTTTTATCGTCAGAACGATTTATATTTTCATTCCTTCGACGTCTTCAATTAGATTTACTTTTACCTTGTTATTTTGCCGTTTGACGCTGTTTCCAGATATCTATGGTTTCAGGTAAATTGAGTGAAGCTATTTTAAATAGGTAAGGATGTCGCCAGCAGCATTTTAAAACAAAATTTTTTTTCAATATCAATACTTTTTTGAATTATTGCAAATACCTAACAGCTTAATCCTTGGGGACCACAACCTCTATCGTTTCAGTTTCAACTCCAAACCCTAATAATAATTAGCACCACACTGATAACAATAATCCTTTAACACCCTTTTAAAATGCAACGAATCTTTGGAGCACAGCGGTGTAAAAAAAAATTGCCCTGCCATTGGCTTCACTCGTCAGACATCTCGAAAAAAATATAAAACATTGCCCCTTGTTGGCTCCAACGAACTGGCAAAGTCAATACACTCAACACAAGTGGAAAGCTACGCTAACGAGCCCATCACATGCCCCGGGACTCATGGTAAATATTATTTCGACTGGAGGCAGAGTTATTCTGGGAGGTAAATTGAAAAACGTTTGCTTCACGGATTTCTCGTAGTGTGGATTTAAGACGTCGTTTAGTTGATTGCTATATAATAATAATAATAATAAGCCTTTATTGCTGTTAAAAAATTTACAATGCTTATATCTAAATATTATATATATATATTTTAATGCTAGGAAACAGCTTGTCTCTCGACATAGGCCTCCTCTAATGTTTTCCACAAGGTCCTGTCCTTTGACTTTCTCAGCCACTCTCCGCCAGCTATTCTTTTGAAATCATCTTCCCATCTTTGATTTTTTCTGCCTTTACTTCTATGGCCATCTCTTGGGTACCATTCCGTTACATTCTTTGTCCACTTTTCTTGTGTCTCTCTTAACATATGTCCTGCCCATCTCCACTTTTGCATTTTATGTACCTTTTCGACGCTTTTTAATTTTGTTATATTTTTTACGTATGTTAGTCTAATTTTATCTTTTCTCTTAATTCCAGTGATACTTCTTTCTATATTGTTCTGACATATGTTTATTTTATTTTATTGTTTTTTTGTCAATGCCCATGTTTGGCATCCATAGATCAGGCATGGTAGAATGCACGTATTATATACTTTTCGTTTGTCTTTCATAGGCATATCTTTATTTTTCATTATTTCACTGAGGGACCAGTATCTCCTCCAAGTATTGGCTATTCTCCGATCGACCTCTTTTTGCATAGTGTCACTTGGCGATATTAACTGCCCCAGGTAAACATACTCTTCCACATATTCAATTTTTTCATTGTTAACGGTGATATTATAGGTCTTCGTAGAATTGGTCATAATTTTGGTCTTAGCGGTATTCATCGATAGCCCTGCTTTTGCACTTTGATCTGACAGTTCTTGTAGCATATGCTGCAGTTTTTCCGGGCATTCAGAAAAGAGGACCAGATCGTCCGCAAATCTTAAATGGTTGAGATTTTCACCTTGATTGCTAATGTAGATTAAATGCTAATAGTCGAATACAGTCTAGTAGATAGTTTTTTTTTCTTCTATAAAGCTCTAGGAGGCTTGGAACTGCCTGAACCTGTTAACCTCAATGTTTGTCTTATACCTCAGTAAGCATTGTTATGCTGAAGAGCTCAACTCATCAATCAGGTCTTTGCAATAGGAAATTTAATTTGGCACTCAGTTAAATAAGCACAGCAAATTTTTAGCACCGAAACATGGACCAGATTTATTGGAGTTCTAAATGAAATATTGAGTCTAGACAGCTGAAATAAAGTTCGTAATGAAAATAAAACCTTCAAAAGCCGAGTTGGAGATTTTAATCCTTTTAGCAGCTCTGGGGTGCTGTATTATTCATTAAACCTCTTGTATTCGCGTTTATTTTATTGTACACTTATTTGATATTAAACGAAATTAACAGCCAATAAACAAGAAGGGATCCGAATTATAATTGGAGGAGCGGTCCCGGTTCGGGCCACGTAATGGTCTTTAAATATGTTTCGACCAAAATAATCTTTTTCAGTGATTAATAATCTAAATATACATGATTTTATATAAATATTTTGAATTGAAACTTCAATAAGCAGAGTACTGAAGAAAGAAGAAGATATGAAGCTTTAATAGGTGATTCGCCCATTCTAATCATTCTACCTTCGGGAAAATACAAATATTTGTCTTAGTTAAGTATTTAATATGTATTAATAAAATTAATTAATTAAAAAGTAAAATATATAAAAAGTAAATAAAAATATGTACTAAAATGAAATCCACAAAATCACTAGAGCGTAATTACTAGTAGCTGGTGAGTGTAGATTGACCATATTATGCATAATATTACCAGTATACGCTAGTCGTCGCGCATATTTGTGGGTACTCGTCATATATCATCGGACGAGGGCATTCACGTTATTGTGACTACTTACATCTGATGAGTTGTAAACTTGTCTACCCGTTTATGCCTATAAAGTTACTGTGATATATTATGAACTCAACGTAGTACTCAATAGTAGGTATTGGGTGCACAGAGACAGGACAATGGTACCAACCCATGCAGGCAGTAGAATTAAATTAATAATTAACGTTTGAAATATTATTCATAAGATTGATGGACGAGCTCACGGCCCACAGGGCTAATGAAGCCCATAGATATTCACAAAGTAAATTCCGCCACCCACCTTGAGACATGAGTTTTGAGTCTCAGTTTTAAAGTACAGTGGCTGTCCCACCCTTCAAACCGAAAGTCATTGCTGCTTCACAGCAGAATGATGGCGAGTGACGGTACTTACCCTTACGTGCCAAAAGTCGCCGTACTATCAATAATAAAATACATTATAATATTATTTTCTGCGGGTTTGATTGTTATTCCACGATGTTATTCCTTCCTCGTGGAAGTCATTCGTGAACATGACATAATATCAAGCACGTATTTTTTTAGGAAAATTGGTATTCGCTTGCGAGATTTGAAAACCGACATAATCACATCGCTCGATACGAATGCACCTTATCATGTTATGCATCTTATCCTTTAGGTCACGGCGACTTCACGAGTTAAGCAATTCCAAGTTCGGACATTCTTTTTTACTATAGATACTTTCATTTTTTACAAAGATATGGCAACAGTGAGTTACAAATTCACTGGTAGCCATACTGTTGAAAATTTATAATCCTAATATCATTCCATTTCTCGTATCCTCAAAAATTAAGATCCCACTACAATCGTACCTGCTGTTGATAATACCACAATAACACGAGGATGGTATTATGTAGATTTGTAAACGGTTAGCTCTTTTGGACCAGGGTTAAGGGTGGCTTATGGGGGTTGTTTGGAGGAGCGCGTAAAATTTTTCGGCCGGTCCCTATCTTAAGGTAAATCTTCGCAGAGATGCTGTCCCTTTTGGAATAGTACGTCTTGTATCAAGTCGTGTGTCCCAAAACGCTTTGTGATAATCTTAGTGGATGTTTTTTATTGTTCTCTGTTTGTTTTTGTTGTTATATCTCGACAAGAAGGTCGGATATCCATTATTAAAACTTTTCAAATTTTAAATTTGCAATTCTCATGTATAGATAGGTAGGTAAACATGTGGCCAGTGTTGGAAAAACGATTAGTTACGTAGTTGATTTAAATTTTTTAGGTAGACCTTGAAAAAACACCAAATCAGTGTTTTTGGAAAAAATATCTACGTTAAATCGTTCTAATTTCCAGATATAATATTTGTTGTAACTATCAAATAAACGAAGATATTTACCACTACAACCATTTTTCTGTGAAAAAATATATTTCTAGACCTTTAACCTATTTTGAGACGTTGAAACATCAATTCATCGAAAGCTTAGAAGGAACAGACCCGACAACAGTTGCAAAAATGTTTGAGTCACTCACATTAGCGATTCCTATAATAACTCTAATTATTAAAGTTACAGTCTAACAAAGCTTCCAGTGAAATGCCAAACTTATTTTCTTCATTAAAACGTTAAACAAAGAAAAGAGAATAACTTTATTTACCTTAAAAACATACAATATGAAACTCGTCTCTTTGCTCCTATAAAATTCAAATAAAGTAATAAACGGTTGAGAAAGGTATAATTTTTGAGTGTTCAAACCTCGTTTCGCAGACGTAATCATAATAAAACACTCAATTTGTCATTTCGTTTGGAGTAATGAGATAATTTACACAGAAAAATATTCGCTCAAACACTCACCTTCTTACATCAAAAGGGCGACTCAAAATTTTGATTTAAAATTCTTCAAAGTAATTTTAGCTGATTTAATTAGTACGTGGTTAACTAAAAATGTCATGTCATTTGAAAATGAAATTCCACAAACAAGTTTAAATATTTCCATGCAAATACAGATCTAGAACGATTACTGCTATAAATATTATTACTAAAATTAATACAACAACGACTTTGGCAACGAAAACTAACATCGTGTAATTAAATTAAAATTAGGCTTATCAGAGGGATCAAGGTTACTCGGAGAGCAACGAAGAGGGCTATGCTAGGAGTTTCCTTGCGAAATCGGATTAGGAATTTTGCAAAAGAACCAAGGTATCTGGCATAGTCAATGATTAAATTGGATCACGTCTTTATATAATTATAGAACTTAATGCATTTCTGCAAGCCCTGTATATTATATATTCTATACGAATATCAAAATTAAAATTAGTACTATAATAGCTTTAATTGTATATATAATTAACAAATTCTCTTCTTCCACAGAATTACCTCCAGAGAAGCCGATCATCAAAGCTGAGAAAGGCTGGTATGCGTCTGGAGATTCTCTACGAGCGCAATGTTCGTCTCCGCCGGCAGATCCTCCAGCGAATCTTACCTGGTTGTTAAACGGAAGAGATGTGAGTACTGTGTTTCTGCCCACTGTTATAATATGAAGGTACACAATCTGATTTATATGATAATGCAAATTTATGATTTTTCATAATTATGGGCATGTTATGACTCGAAGTCGGTTTTCAATTTGGGTATAGCTCTATCCCATGGTTCGCAACAATAACTGGTTCTGTGTTGCCCACATCCAGCAAACCCTCAGCCCTTCAGCAGGTCGTCGGCGTCGGTCCGCCTTATTCAACTGTAACTATGCTGCTCCTTCCGGTGTACAGAAGAGCCAATCATTCAACTGTTCTATAAGCAATCTACCCTGAGCACTGTCACTTGGATCTCTCGGAGTTCAGACTCAGATTTTTCCTATCGTGAATCAATTAGGTCATTTGATTTAAAAACCAAAAGAGCTATTATTCCAATATGCACGTAGCAAGCTGAGAAATGGTAATAATTTTATGGTATAGGCTCGCTCCCAAACCTCTTAACACATCTACACCAATAACAAAACCAACCTGATCAAACGACATACATATGTGTGTGGTTACGCTAAACCATTTTTATAAATTGATTTTATAATTGAACTCGAGATTTAAAAATACACGAAACTGGCCTAATGCTAGTACAACAACTGGAAACAGTAATTTTTTTTAATGGTGGTAAGTATTATGAATCCGCAAGAGTCATGGTTATAAGAGTAGGACAGGTAGACAGTGTTTTGTTGTGTTCTATACTGGTCTCATGTAGCCACCAAAAAGATAGATAGTATAAAGATAGATAGATAGTATGGTGTGATAGTATGGTCTATGAGCTCGTTTCCCTAATTAAAACAGGGATTCTCTATTTAATTATCAAAACATGATGATATTTCGTATGATAGCTTTTAAAATTCATCATAAAAAGTAGTTGATTTTAATCTAAACAAGAACATTGTTGTTGTACAGCCTCCGACGACAATCCGCGTCCCTCGGGAGCGAGTGACGTGACGTCTCGACTTGATAAATGAGTGGGCTCGCTCATTGTTTCCGAGAAAAAGTTCGGATCAAATCCTGCAAGAGAATGGATTTTAATGAAACTGATCCATCTTTGAAATAAATGAATACTTTGGCTTTTTGCGGTCTCATTCTTCGATCTTAAATTCAGATATCTAGATGATAATCTGAAGAGTTGCTTTTGAAATTGTTTATCGCAAAAATGATATATCGTATCGTCGATTTTTAAACATTATAATGTTTTGGAAGATGGCTACTTAATACCGGGTCGAAGTTTCGAAGTTGTATAAAGGCATCATAGCGTCGATGCCACCACCCCCTTTAAAACATGAGGTTGTAACCTCAATTGTATAGAACCTGCCCCACACTGTAAATAGGAAATCATGACTGTACATGATCTTTGTGATTGAATTCTCTTGATTAATAAAGAGGCATTTTTGTAACAAACTAGTATTATAAATATTATGATCCTATTTTCCGAGTAGCTCAAATGCTTGTGTTTACACAATGTGATCAATTCCTGGTAAATCTTTCTAGTAAACTTTAAACTTAGGAATGGCATGACTATCTTGTTTTTTTTTTTTGTTTTATTAAATGAGTTGTGGCTCTGGTGGCTTATTGATACAATATTGTTAGAATAGGAAAGGATTATTTAATGGATTCGTTACAATCACCCCACATACCTAAGATATAAGGTTATAATCAGTCATTAATGCACTTTAAGTCAATTACAAAATGTACGTGACTTCTTCTACTCTCAGAGTATAATAACGGTGGATTGTTTACCATTTAGTATCTGAGCAAGTGCACAAACATTAGAAAAGGGAACAAAAATTTTACTTGACTTTCGGAGCTCTAGTCTCAATTATTATCTGAGTCTGAAGTCTGAGGATAATTCTTAAAAAAATTCAGAACTTTTTCTATAGGTTGATTGATAGATCGAGTAAGCAATGGCCATAAATATTAATAAAAAATAGCCACAATACAATCCCATTCTGTTACCAAAAACTCTTGAAATTATCTGTTACGAAAATCGTCATTAAGGAATGTCGAAGTTAAAATACCGTAGTGGTAAATGATGCAAATAATAGGACTGTTTCTTGGAATCCTATTGTTTGTCAACTGGAAAACTTAGTTGATAATGATAGTATAGAAGTAAAATGATTTTTAGTGATTTCGTAACATAATTAAAATGTGACATCGAGGCTGTCGACTAAGACCATTACGTACCGGTGAACAAACATTCCGATATTTCACAACGGATTTTAAACGTTCAAGCGAGCGGTACACAAAGAACTTTGCTCTCAACTCGACGAAAACAAGCTTAGAGTTTCCGACGGAGGCATCGTCTCGTGCAAACACTCCAAACGGACAGGATCCGGTGCCTTCAAAAATACATTCTGTACGTGTTTTGGCATTGCGACCGGCCGTGCGAATCATCGGATTTAGAATAACAGTGTTTTTGAAGTGTAACTTCTTTATCGACGTAGCGAGGAAAAAACGTATGTAACGTTTTTCGGTTACGCGCCATCTTAATTTCTTCCGTTACGCGCCATGTTTATTTTATTTCTATTTAGTTTGTTATCAACAGATGTCGCTGCACGTAAATTCAACAATTCCTGAGTCGCGGTGACGAGATGTTACACAGTTGATGGACGTTCTCGTATTTCTCTTGCTAAATCATACCTACCTGGCGTCGGGATACCGTGATCATGCAGGCGGTTCCCCGGGGTGCGGCTGCTGCATTGTACTGCGGAGTAGTTGATCCTTGCGACTATTTTTATATTTTATAAGTTTCACTTCTACTGTGTGTGACTTGCACACAATCACATTATTTCCTTTATTCGATTTATGACTAAAGACTTTAAAGGCAGTTTCATTGAATAATTCGTTCGCTGTTTCAAATTTCTCATTGCTGCCTCAAGTGCTTAGTGTTTGTACTTTGAAGCTGCATGTAATTCTGTTTTTGGAAGTAGCATTTATGTATCCAGATACTTTCAATACGAAAAAGTTCGGGGATGCGATTGCTGGGATTTGAATTTTATGTCGATATCAAAATTCTACTATTGAGTGTAGCAAAACTTTCGTTCGTACGTGTTTTGTAGAGCGGTGGAGCACTAGTGGAGGGCGTTGACGCAACAACTTGTATCACGGCTTTCGTATCTTAATTTGTATCTATCAATGTATGTATGTATCAATTTGTATCTTAAGATATACTAGTAGCTATTGTATTTCTATAAGTTTCATAGCAGCTCGGCAAGTAACTAACAGGTACTGAAAGACTTTCTGTGCGTAAAGATACATGTGGAAGTCAATCGCCCATATTTACAATGTAATTTATATACTAACATTTGCTCAGTACACATTTTATTACAAAATTTGCCAGCGGAAATGAACACCGGTGCATTGCTAGATACAAATTCACCGGAAGTCTCAAGATCGTCTGAAGTCTGAAGTATTTAGACGACTTCAAAATACTTCATACTTTTATTTTTATTTTTTATTGCTAGATGAGTGGACGAGCTCATAGCCCACCTGGTGTTAAGTGGTTACTGGAGCCTATAGACATTTACGACGTAAATGCGCCACCCACCTTGAGATATAAGTTCTAAGGTCTCAAGTAGGTATAGATACAGATACTTCACGGAAATTTAATACACGATCCGGCCAACCATAACTGCAAAAGTCACCAGTGAAATTTGTTTGTAATAGAAAATACTAGGATCTTTGTCAAGCGCTCAAAGAGTATTCACTTAAAAACTTGTCGTCTACATAACAATGCCGTCTACGTAAGAATCAGTATTCTTGACGGTACATTTAAAATATCGCTTCCACACAAACGAGGCATCACTAAAAGCCTCGTGCAAAATTCGCCGAATACATTCGCTAAACTATTATGATGCAAAGTTTTCTCGTTTTCTCTTTTAGTTTTAAAAAGTGTAGTAGTTCAACAAATCTTCCACGATTGCCTTTTCAACGAAGTGTACACCTAGGCACCGTTAAAATTATGGAAAGTTGAATTTTGTACTTTCAGTAATGGGTAGGATTAGGACGATGATAATTATAATCTTATTTATTTCTTAAATTATTATTATTATACTGAAACATTTGATTCTTTCGTTAACAATGAACTTAATAAGACGCCCAGTATACGCCTATCAACCGATACGACTAAAATAATAATACCTAGTTAACACAACACACACACACACACACAGAAGTAAAAAAATATGAAATCTGAATTGAGAGCCTTCTTCTTCTTTGAACTAGGTTAAGAAAATCGTAGTGTGTGTTGGTATTTCTGTGTAAAAATTCCGTTACGATTATACAGATATTTTAACACAGAAATGCAGTCAAACTCCATTCTGGTCAATAACGTCAGAAAAGTACCCTTTTAATTAAAATAAATTATATTTTCGGAAAAATCCGAAACCATGGTGTGGCTTAAAAGGAAAACATTGAACATTTTTCCAATTTCCTAAAATTTAAATATAGCCTGTTAAAAATTTATAAGAAAATTTCAAAAAACATATTTTAAAATAATCTGAGTACATTCAATTAAACCCTAATCCGCAAATTTCCATATTTTAAAATTCGAAATTGACAGAAAATTATCTCCCGACGGGGGTATATTTAAATGACCCTTTCTAGTCTGGTTTGTGGTGAACATCAGGGAAAACGTACTCACCGTCCCTTTGTGTACGGGCTGTCATTTCAGTTGACATTCCCTGAGGGACAAAATGTTTTTATTACCTTTGAAATGATTTATTTTTGGGACTAATTTTTCGGACCTTTAGTTTTATGCCTGAAGCGTTCATCAGAACTCTTAGTTATTTTTTTATTCGAAAAATTAAATAGGCAACCAAATCTATTAAAGTGGTATGCGCTTAAAGTATTTGGTATTTCTTAGTAAATTAATGTGTGTTACATAGGCTTTAATACCAATATTTTCCCATTAGCTTTTATGAGAGTAGTCTGCCTTATCTGGTATTAATTTACGATGCGGTCTACTTACTAGTGTTTTT